AACAAAGTACACGTCTCAAGTGGATATGGCTCATTCGAAAGTCATTTGTGACCTATGTGTAAAAACCGTTAAGTCTGGTCCAGTTTGCTTTAACTGTCAAAAAGCGTACCATTCGAAGTGCTTAGGGATGAGTGCACTCGAAACTAGACAATACAGCAGCAAAACCGAAGCATTTTGGTTCTGCCAGGTGTGCAAATCCATTCCTGTCGTTAGTTGTGTAATTTTCCTAATGAAAAAGTGTGGAAAGTTGGCGGAAACAGTTGAACAACTGGTGAACGCTCGCAACGCAGCTGTGAAAGTAAACAACGCTATACTTGAAACTGAACGGACACCTACAAACTCCCCGTTTAGGCCGAGGAAGAGGGCCAGGCATCCCAACCCCACCATCGCGTCTCAGTCTCCAACGTCCCCTAGCCTCGTGACTCCACTAAGTGAAAAAGTCGTTTACAACCCACTTGCTACTACGTCCTCCAAGGGTGTAATAACTAGTAATTCAGTTGACATACCCGACACACAAAACTCCAGCATGCCTACGGTAAAAAATAACTGGACATCCTACGCAGCGGTTGCTTCTAGGAAAACGCCGTCAAAGACACCTGTGACTCCACTTATCGAAGAGGTCAAAACTGTGCCTCAACATGGATCGCTATCGCCAGTGCGGTTCACAAATCCACAAAAAGCAAAAGAACCTAGTGTTGTTAAGTCGCAAACCACAAGGCGGAATCATGGTGCCTTAAGTCTTGTGTGCACTAACGTTCCTGAATCCAAATCCAACACAATAAAGGGCAAACTGATAGACGATCGTTGTCAGTGGGATTCCATCTGTAGTGCCATCAGCATGCGCGCTGAACCCACTACGCTGAGCCGCATCGCAAGACACCCAAACAACTTACACTACGGTGAACCTCGACTACTTCGAGTAACACTACATTCCGCGGAAGAAACGGAATCCATTCTGCTCGCTGCAAATCGACATCACAGAGCATCGAACGGAGTATGTATCTTACCGGATATTCCGTGGAAAGAACGTTCAAAGGATATGAACAATCATCAGGGAAGTAGAAAACAAGCGCTGAAAACCGTCATTATTCATGGCGTCCCTGAGTCTCAAGCTTCACCTCCTGAAGAAGCTCAGGCACATGACCTGGAGCAATGGCGATACATACGAGAGGCGCTGTCTTTAGAAAATGTCATTGCTACCTCCCTGACCAGGATTCCCGTGTCACCAAATTACAAAGGGTGTGGTCCTAGGTTGCTGAAGTTGGTCTTACCGTCTGAGCTAACTTTACAGACAGTTCTAGAGAACTGGGGTAAATTCCGGAACATGCTACCGACAGAAATTCGAATTAAAGCAGCAGGTTTACGACCAGAGGCTACTGGTTACTCCATGGAGAGAACCAACTCAGTGGGAACAACCGTTGCTGCAGAGTCCACCACAGAGACTGATCTGACTGCCGTCATAGCATCCGGCGAGGCACTGCAGGAGGTGAGTGACCATCAGGATCATCATGAACCTGATCACACGGTGCAGAGAGTTATCCCAAGTCATTCTCGCGAGCCTAAGACAATTTCAAAAAACTAGTAGCAGCCGACCTCAAGAGGGTCGGCCAAGTCTCAAACCTGTTGTCTATATCCACAAGTAACCTTCTAACCTATGAATCACTCTCCTGTTTTTATACCAACGCACAAGGTCTTTTAAGCAAACTGACGGAGCTTCGCCTGCGTCAGGCCTCGATGTCAAGCGACCTCGTTATGATAACCGAGACTTGGTTGAATGAAGCGATCACTGATGCAGAAATCGCACTACCAGGGATGTCAATTCTACGCAACGATCGACCAAGTAGAGGAGGTGGAGTAGTACTTTATTATCGCAGCGAACTACACATCGATCTCATCAATGACCCAGAGGTTCAGATTGTCGATGCGCTTTGGTGTCGTCTTCAACTTAGCCGTGGGGACGCATGTTTGTTGGGTGTGGTGTATCGCCCTCCGTCGGCTACTTTGGAAATGGACAACCGCCTAGCCTCCACAATGAAGACCATTCTCTCGCAGTCATACAGCCACATTCTCCTGGTTGGCGACTTCAATATTCATAGCATAGAAACCCCAGCCTGTATCAACGAACACTTCAAAATGGAAGTACAGGAGATAATCAGTGGGCTACCACTCTACAATCACATCACATCTCCCACAAGATTCAGGACAGGAAACAAACCGGGTGTTCTGGATCTCGTATTCACCAATGAAGAGCTTATGATCGAAACGGTATCGATAGAGAGTCCTTTAGGCCGTAGCGACCATGCAACCCTCATGTTCAAGTACATCTGTTATGCAGAGTATTCCTCAGAAAACACCGAGGAATGCCAGCTCATTACGGATTACGGCGCTCTAGTCAAACTGATAAATGCTACAAACTGGGCATTTCTAGCAGAACGTTCCCCCGATATCGCCTGGTCTGAATTTGCTCACCAGTTTAACACGTTAGTAACTAGTGCTTCTAGAAAAAGACCTTCGCGAGCGAAGACAGTAAAATCATTCATACGCAGCAGGACACGCAAGTGTATCGTCACGAGGAATTTACTCTGGCGAAGATACAAGGAGTCACCGAGTGCCGAAACATGGGAAGCCTACACTATCCAAAGGAATCACTGCGTAAACCTGGTACGCGAAGATAAAATGCAGCACCAACAGAATCTAGCTGAGAAATTTCTTTCAAACCCCAAGCTCCTGTACAGACACGTTAACAAGCTCCGCAAAGTACAGCGAGGAATTCCTGCTTTACACACATTGTGTGGACTTGCACAAAACGCAACCGAGGCGGCCAACGCCCTATGTCAACAATTCGCCCCGAACTTCCAGAGTACGACATCGCCGCATACACTGTTCCCAATCGTTGTACCACCACCAGGACTCAGCCACATCACATTTACGACTGCGGATGTCATGAAAAGGCTAATTGCCCTGCGCGAGCATACCTCTCCCGGTGTTGATAATATTCGTCCAAAAGCGTTGAAATTGGCTGCAGTAAACCTGGCAGACCCACTCTGCAAGTTCTTCCAACGATGCCTCGATGAGATGCGCGTGCCAACAATGTGGAAGCAAGGCATCGTCACTCCCATCCATAAGGGGGAAGTCGTACAGATCCGGCCAACTACCGCCCGATAACACTACTCCCGGTGCTCTCCAAAATCATGGAAGCGATTGTCGCCGAAACTCTGATGAACTTTTTGGAAGAACGAAATATCATAGCACAAGAGCAACATGGGTTTCGCAAGAACCGATCTTGCACTTCAAACTTGCTGCTTGCCAGATCTAGTTGGACTGAGACCGTTGACAGCGGCGTAGGTGTTGACGCAGTATATCTGGATTTCTCAAAGGCTTTCGACCGTCTGAACCACCGTATCCTCCTTCACAAGCTGCAGTGTTGTGGAATTGGTGACCCAATCCTCGGTTGGATAGCTAACTTCTTGCTTCAACGACATCTGAATGTAAGAGTTCGCGGCGTCATCTCTGACCCAATCGACGTTAAGTGCGGAGTGCCCCAGGGCTCAGTACTTGGTCCACGACTATTCCTGATTTACATAAACGATCTCGCGACAGTAATCAACTCCAACTCCTTACTCTTCGCTGATGATCTCAAGATATGGCGAGCCATTAGAACAACCAGCGACAATGCAGCACTTCAGGATGATCTGGACAGGGTCTACGAATGGTCGACTCAGAACCTGCTTCAGTTCAATGCTACAAAGTGCAAGGTGCTGAGCATACGCCATAAAGCCACTTGTGAATACAGACTGGGAGATCAAATATTGCAGCGCACAACAACGGAATGCGATCTAGGCGTGATAGTGCAGGAAGATCTGGGCTGTTCCCGTCAGGCCGAGAAAGCCTCCAAAAAAGCTAACCAAAACCTTGGCCTTTTGCGGAGGGCATTCGGGCGCTTCGATCCTTCCATCTTTTCCCAGATGCTGAACGCCTACATTCGGCCTCATTCTGAGTACGCCATCCACGCTTGGCAGCCATGGCAGAAGCAAGACCTTACCGCTCTTGAACTGCCACAACGAAGGGCGACCAAGAACGTCAAGGGCCTGTTTCATCTCCCTTACCGATTGAGGCTGAAAACCCTCGGGGTCTACAGTGGACAATATCGACGCCTGCGTGGCGACTTGATAATGACTTATATGATCCTGCGGAATCCAAACCATTGTTGTCGTCACCTACTTAAGCTGAATAGCAATACAACACTCAGAGGACACCATCTAAAGCTGGCCACACAATACAGCCGGTTGGAATGCCGCCGGAATTTCTTTTCCCTTCGTGTGTGCCAACACTGGAACGCTCTTCCCACATACGTTGTTTCTTCCCCCACGCTATCGCTATTTAAAAGACGTCTGGATGATTCGCTTATCCACCTACATTACGCTATATAATCAGAGATGTCCACGTTGAACAAACACGAAAAAATACGGTGCTCATTCTCAGCTTTTGTGCTTCACTATTTACACACTGCTGTTGTGGAATATAGTATCGGATATATTACAACTGCATTCATCAATTTACCCCAGTCCAAGAAAGCGGCGCACGAGTAAGCGTTGGTCGTTTCTATTGTTCTTAAGACCTGCCTTACCCATATTACTTCCCATAATACTCTACAGTAACAATTCAGTACATGTTCTACAGCGTTTCTATGAATAAGAGGCACTTGAATTCACTAGAAGCTTAAACTGACGATTTACACTGATGTTTACTTTCACTTCAACCATCCTACGGGACTTGTAAAGCAATCGCTTTTTTACCTGTAATATATCATTGTTCATTGTTAACTGCGGGAGTTCGAGTCCCCGGGGTTTAAGGCTAGTCTGATCAGCTAAAACATTTGCTGATGTTCAGTGGGTACTCTCAGATCATTAGTGTATTGAAGTTAAAGCGTTATCGATATTCCAATTACTCACTGAAGAGCAGAAACGTGCTCGTCAATGCCAGAAAGTTTCTCAACTCACTCAGGGTAGCGACATGATTTCCGAACTTCTCCCGAGTGGTGGGCTTTTTCTGTTCTGTAATGACAGATTTAACTGTGGACATGCCTTCTTTTTGCGCCTCATCGTTCTCCTCCCTGACCGCCTCTGTGTTGACGTAGATGGAAACTCTTCCAGAAAGAATGATATAGAAACTGTGGGGAAAATTTCAACAGCATACATGGTATAAACAAGGGCTGTAGGTGGTGGTGGTGATTAGGTCCATGCGTTCACATTGTGTTTTAGTATACATGACTGGTGAGGCTGGACAGTAGTACTCAGCAAGCCCCAGATTTCGTGTTATTTTCTCTAAGGCGCCCCTGTTGTTGGAGGTTTTCCAGTGCCACTCCCTAATTTCCAATGAAGATCGGCGGCTACAAGTGAAAAATTCTTGCTTAGTGTGCTCAGGTTGAGTTACTGGGACGCGCGCTGTGAAACACATATTAAGTCGGCATCCACTAGAATGTTAGTAATGGTTTTGACGAACAGGCAACAGTTTCAACTGGGAAATTAGGATGAACAGCAACTTATTGTGCCAGCTTGTGATACTGCCTATCGTTGGATGGTGCACCATGTAATTTTCATTCTAACCTAAAGTCTCGCAACGTTTGCCCACCTGAAACGAGTAGTGGTCTAGGGAAGGTTATCTTTCAGATTACTAAGGTTGTACTGCATTTCCTTTCCTACTCAACATCTGTATCGCGATGATTGTCAATGGTACTATGTTCTCGGTCTCGTTTGAAGTGGAAGTGCTATTGGAAGATCAAAGGATAGACTGAACATGTAGAAGATATGAACTGCTTGGGTTAGGTCCAGTGACTAAGTATACATTACTAAATTAGCTGGTATGTGGCGTTACAGGCTTCAGTATGTCCTTCATAGGAATGGGCTTAAACGTCGCCGTTCCTAACCAATATTGTATAGCCAGTGGAGGTGATTGATAGGTTCATTTATTTCCGTAGTTGTGCCACCTCTTGTGATCACGTCATTGAACAGTTGACCTCACGCATCAGCAAAGCCCATATGCCTATCCAAAGTCTCAGGCTTTTGTTGAAACAGCAGAACGTCAGCCTACCGGTCGGAAGTAGGGGATGCAGCAGTTCTAGAACACTGGAGTTAATTTATGGATCCGGAACACGGCTCCTTCACCTGTTGAGAGTAAGGGAATGGTGTTCTGTGATCACTAATGCTTGTGAATTGTTGGGCAATACTAAAGACCGGTATTAGCACATGCAAAGCTACTCTGTAAGACCCCATTAGATTTTGCACTAACGTTTAACTCATTTTATTGACCAAATCATGTCTTCTGTATGCTCGTTGGCCACCCGGATGGGAGTTATACGCCAGATGGGCGAAACTTCCCAGCTGCGATCCGATGACTTAGAATAAAGACATAAAGAAATGGCCGAGAGACAGTCATGCTGGTTCGTACTGTTTTCCTGAGTGTTTGACTTGGCATGTACCACATCGGTGGCTATAGACCATATATAACCTGACGAAGCCAAAGATTCGGTGGTGCCATTCTATCCGGTTTTTTACATCCAGCCGGTAGCAATCCGTCTTAATTGCATCTCCTTCTCTGCAATCCAGTTGTCTCGCTTCTGTTACTTGTGGCTACCCTACCTGGGAGAGTCATGACTTCTTTGTGCTCGAGCTAAGTTTGTCCAAAGTAGCTGGCTTGAGCACCGTCTTCAGCTCGAGGGACTGGTTAACACCACTAAATACACGATGCTCCACACGGTTAAGTGAGGGCAGGGTCAGGAGATGCCAGTGGGTTGAAAAACCAGTTAGTGCATGTGGGATTTGAATCAAACGTATTACCCTGGAGTCTATTAGTTCATTATGGCTGAGCGGTACTTCGGCCAAGTTGGGACTGAATAATAACCATTCGGAACGCAAAGCAACTCATGACCCGCACTTTAGACAATTACAAACCACATGTACTTCATATCATGACAATAATTTGTACTGAGTTAAAACCATATCTCAACCGAATCTCATTTTGAACTATGATGTCATTGAGAAAGTCACCTGATGAAGTGGTACAGCAGGGATCGAAAGATAGTTAACAACTATGGGCATAAACGGATAACGAAAAGACACTGAGGTACAGGTAGAACCACTAGAGATGTTTTAATCTTTGGTTATCCGTTAATCCTTCTGTCTTTGCTTGTCTTTATGGATGGTCTTGTGCAATTGAAAGGTTAGGTAGACTAGCAAATCTGGAACCTGTGCCAGCTTCGGAATTTCACTATCTATTGGGCAGTAGCAGTGGCGTAGCAATTGCTTTTGTCGCAGGGGCGGACATAAAATTGCTGCCACCGGCAACAGTTGTTCTAAATCCGTACACCTAAACAATTGCGAACAGACCTTAAATATTTCACTTCTATAGAAACAATCGAAAATATAATTTTAGAGTGTTACTTTAATTGTTGTCGGTCGGTGGCTGAATGGTCTGCACGCCTGGTTTGTAACCATAAGGTCAGCGTTTCCAATCCGCGAATGGGTGGGCGTCCTCGCGGTATAATCAGCCCGCGCGCAACTGCTGGCGGTCGCACGGCAGCAAAACGCCGTTACGGTCTACAGCTGACAATCTATCTCTCTATCCTCTAAGGAGGATCGAACCCATGACCGCTAGAGGCAGATGCCAACTAGCCAGCAGCTTAAGCCACTGAGCCATGGGGGACGTTGGCTGGGCAACATAATTTGCAAACTAACTGGGATATGGCACCACCTATCTACTACTGTCACTGACAGTGATTAGCCTGCTAGGTGATGACGTCCTCTCACTAGACGCTATATCCATAGCATTTGGAACTAGGAGAGGCCATTTTTATTTTATATTACTCATGAGCAGCAGGATTTTAGTTGTAATTCTGATAAGGCAGTGACAGTAGTCGATAGGTGGTGCTATATCCCAGTTCGTCTGCAAATTACGTAGCCCACCCAACGTCCCCCATGGCTCAGTGGCTTAAGCTGCTGGCTAGTTGGCATCTGCCTCTAGCGGTCATGGGTTCGATCCTCCTTAGTGGACCGAGGGAATGCGCACCACTGACCAGCCCAAATAGGGCGAAACGCGCCTGAGGCTTTTCCGGACTAGGCTCTGCTATGTAGCATGTGAACTATTAGGATGAAAGCCTTATCAGAATTACAACTAAAATCCTGCTGCTCATGAGTAATATAATCTATCTCTCTGTTAGTAATATTTGTTTTCTTACAATACGTACAAAATTTACCGAAAAATGTACTTTCCTGTATTACTTGAGGCAATAATACTGATAATGTTAACTAAATTCATTCCATTTGCAAGTCTCTTTTATATGGGGATAACTGCCAATCCGTCAGCTATATCGGGTTCATGATGATTGTAGTTCGTGAATATTTCGCATTTTGAGAATGCGCGATCACAGCTGTCAGTACTGAGAGTTCGAGTAAGAAACATGCGAAGCAGATTTCCCAAGATGATATTTCTATATGTAGCTCAAAAGTTCAGAAGATACATTACTTCCATCGTTGCTTGAAGCTTTCACAAAATACCGCCATCTTCCTTCGGCAGGGAATTCCTATGTTCTATATCTTCCACAAATTCCTTATGCAGATAACTGTAGTTATCATCAAGCACATTTGGCAGCCTAAGTAAAGCATATTTGTATGCAAAATCATACAGTTGCTGAAATCTGTGGCATTTTATTAGTCAAACTGTCTATGACACACAGAATCTCCTGTGTTAACTCAGCGTCGCATCACATCGATGTACCAAACAATTCGTCACGGTTCATTTGTTTTTTTTTTGCGAATTCGACGCTTTATGCTTATCCTCAACTCAACGTGGTGTCTTTTGGCGCAATCCACTGCAATCTTTAACGTTTTCTCTCTCTTCTTATAACGATAAACTCTTAACATTGCTAGCTGGACGGTACTTTGTTGTAGCTCCAGCCAGTTTGTTCAAACATATATATGCGTCCTTGATTTCTCTGCCAACAGATCTCCAAGGGCACAGAAAAATAAACGGAAACGATAATACCGAGATGACACTTAAAGAGGCGTCTGATCTTTTGGTTGTATTCTCCTTATTTTGTGGATTGTTTCAGAGTAGTGATGAATTCCGAGTATTACTTCACCGTAACATTTACAACGACTACTCGCCTAATCCATCTAGATTTTACAGTCACTTGATACTTAGGCGGGTGCCTTGCATGTAAAAATTCCAGCAGGGTTTAAATGCAAAAAGAGCACATCCCGTCCATCGTAACAAAAGTGTAACAGAATGAATGGGTCGCAGAAGCTGCATGAACAAAAGCCAGAGTCATGTCTTCTTTAGTGCATGACACAAATATAGCTTCGGGTTGATTTCGCCGAAGTCTCTGGCACACCTGATTTATAGCTTGCTATAACCACAGTATTGTCAAATGCATGACCGTAGCAGTCATCGAGTTGAATCCAACCCTTCTCCGAGTCTCTCAATAACCATGCAGCAATTTTCTCCGCTCTTTTGTTTTTGGCCTCAATGAAGCTGCAAATCGACTCCTCTGCCATCACTAGATTTTCACTCGTCTAATTTTTGTAGATTACATCAGGTGTGTCAGCAAAGAATAAGCAAACATACTTGCTTACCTTGACCTAACTAAGCTACGATTTTCTTTCCCACCTGCTTTACCAAAAGGCACATTAACTCATCGCGAACGTGTTGGCATAAAGAATAATTGCTGCTTTTTCTTGCGGCTGAACTGTCACCAAAGGTTTAGCAAAGAAAAGGTACATAATTGCCCAACAAATGCATAAATTCTGCAAAATTCCCACTATTTTCCTGGCCTATTTTGTCATCCTGGATGTATTCTCAGTGACCAAACAGTAAATTGTTTTAGTAATGTGTAGACGGACTTGGGTATTATTCGAGTTGGTTCATCGCGATTAGATTCCAAGCCGCATAGGTAAGCTACCAATTTACGAAATTTCATCCGTCAAACTGACTGTGACAGACAGCATTTTCCGTTTTATCTCAGCAACAGTTCACATTCATATATCAAACCAGTCTCCAACGTACATCCGTTTCTTTCAGCGGGTTAGGCGTCTCATGCTATCCCAAATACTGCGTAGTTTTTTTAGATTCATCCATTGCAGTGTCCACCACTTTCTCTCTTCTGAAGAAGCTAAACTCT